TCATGCCGCATACTAGGGCAAAACCTGAGCTACGACACGGAAGGCCCAATCTCTTGCAGTCTGTTATAAACACAGCTAAACAGATGGGGAAGTGCAATCATCTTTCGTCTTAATGTGTAAGAAAAAGCAAACTAGACAAACAAGATCGACACGTGCCATGTGTCTTGCTTGACATAGCCCATTTTCATTTCACATACCGCGTGTAGCCTGACGAAACGTCACTTGCGGTGCGGAGCTAGGAGAGGTGACTGTTTTCACAGGCATGATTTGTCGTTTTTTTTTTTTTCCATTTTTAGTCGCATGTTACTAAAACGGGGAACGGGGAGCGGGGAGCGGGGAACGGGGAACGGAAGTCTGGGAACGAGTTGTCAGCGGAAACCTCCATAAAAATCCAAAATGGCTCCTGGCCGGTAAGGATCAAGAACCCGGTAAGATCGATGATAGAGAAGCGTCGAAACAACACTTAAGGTCGCTATTTTACTAATGAACTATATGCTCATGAGGTGCTTGAAATAATACGGAGGTAATAATGTCATGACATTTTTCACCTTTTTGCGTTTTACTAAACAACAAAATATGCTCCAACAGCAGTTGAAAGAAGCTACAGTCGGGACAAAAACTCTCAAAGCACAGCCATATTTGGAACTCAAGCGAATCTATACTGGGTCTAACTCACAAAGCAATGAACTACTTTTGCTTGACGCTTTTCGTAGGGTTTTGGCTTAAATACATGCTGGAAGATAACGTAGATCGAAGCAGCCAGGTGTATTTCCTCGACAGTAATAGTGTAGCAGTGGAGCTCCTTCCTAGCTGTAGCGTTTTTTCAAGCCCAAATTAAAACATGTTGGCGATGAGATAAAACTGTAAGTCTAATAATATTATATTTACAAACCTATGATGAGAAGTAAGTGCAATTGTATTATTTTAAAAGATAAGATGGATCAGGTTATTTAATACATCAATAAAAGGCAACTATAAACATATTAACGGGCAATGTGCCAGGAACATCAATCATACCTTGGTCTTAAAGATGTCAGTTGTTTCAAAGCAAATGGCTATGCTGTGGTTTTATTTTATTATAACCTAGGTTTAAATTTTGCTTCCCTTTGTTTGGGGGTACGGTAATATGAATTTTATGATTATGAGTTCAAAACAAAGAGAATAGAATTCAAACTTAGGATAAAAGTGAACCACAACTGAGCTGCAATATTAAGTGTTGCAAGTATACGTGGGGGAAGTACTTTAAAGTCTTTGGTTGGAAGGTACTTTCTAAAGGCTAGCTGTTAAAATATGCATGGTAAGTATACTTCCTTTGTTTAGCCCTCTGGATGCTTTTTTTTTTCTAGGGGGACTCCTTAAATGTTTTCGCAGAGGGGAGCT